TTCCTACTAGGTCGCTGATACTGGAGTGTATTGCTTGCGTGAGTGAAATCCCTGTTACATGTCTCATTAATACTTTATGTTTTGCAGGCTTCCAATGCATGAGCCAGAAAATGTATTGACATGAGTCAATACATCTGATCTTCTGGAATTCGACAAAGCACGAGTGAATTGGTGTCTAACATCAACTCAACAAGATGAGATTAAATAACTAGCTTCTGCCACGTAAAATTAAGACAGATTAAACAAGCTGTAAGCTCCTGAAATTAGTGATATATCTTAAATAAGAAAATTAATTACTTCAGGTCGCCTAAAGTTATGCAAGACTGATAGTTAAAATATGTAGCAGACTTTACTTTATAAATGAAGTAAGATTAAATTAGCATTCCATCCTGTTCATTCACTTTTATCAAGAAAATGCATGCAAACAATTAGATCTGTACAACTTTTGATAATTATACAACTTTAATACCAGATTGCCCAGTATTTTATTTTTCCATTATTTTTCATGTAAGGTGCCGTGGTATGTAGCTGATTTATTGTACAGCCCTTAGGTAATTTTAGCTATTTACAATTATGTATATGATATTTAACGCCAATTCAGGCTTTATGGGAAGAAAGACAAAGGTATCTCAACCAAAATTTAAATCACAGAGAATATATAATTGAAAAGGTGGTTGAAAACGAATCCTTAATAATTTCCTTTTATGTAGCTTTCACATTACTTAAAACAATGAGTAGAGAGGCTCTGTAACTTGTGATTGTTAGTTTTGGTGTAGAGGTTCTCTACGCACCGTGCTTTGACCTGATGAATCTGTGCTGTGCTTTCGCTTGCCTTGTCGTAATGGGGTCGGAGTGATAATTAATTATTTATTAAATTTATCAAACATAAAGCCAAACATGATTGCAGACTAGAGTACTGCCTACCTATAATTAGCTAGTTTTTAGATAAAAATGAAAATTAAGATTATTTAGCTGAATATTTTATGCTTCGCCTGATACCTTTTCGGATTTAGGAACCCGATAGCAGATTCTCTGTTTTCGTTCTTCACTGGGATTAAATGTGCTTCTGCAATAGTAACGAATAGCCTAATCAGTGGTAAGTTATGTATTGTATTCACCCAATGCTCATTAGTCCAGTGTGATTTTTTGCTAACCAGACACCTGGCCTCTCCTACTAAGTAGTTTGTCTAGCCTCCTAAACTGAATTCTATCCAAAAGATAAAGGTTCTTCCGGCTCACTTTTATATTTTTCGTCTAAAGTTTCACTAAGCTTTCATAATCTCTATGTAACCTACTCTACAAAATATAATAAAGACGGTAATTGGCCAGAAAAGCCTCTATGTTTAAGGGTTCGACAATTTTTTGGTAATCTTGAATAAACCAAGGCTCCTTATATTTTAACTTTTTGACAGCCTTCAAGTCCTCTATGAAGAGGTTGATTATCTATTTCACAGAAAGTAATATGGATAAAGTTCTGGATCGCTTTCTCTTCTAGGAATATCAGCTAATTATCTCACGATTTCACTAGGCCTATGGTGCATGCGCATGTATAGCACATTCATAAAATTGGGTATCATATCATTCAACCTATGCACATAACGTCATTTTGTTACGAAGTGTCACTAATGTGTTCAGTACTATATTTGGCATGACTTTGAAAAAAAGTGGACCTGTGATGGTGGAAAATGTGTAACAATTGCTCGTCTTTCCTCGCAATTCTCTGAACATCCGGTCAGTTTGTGGGGCAGACTTGATTTAGCTGACAGATTTTATCGAAAGAATGAGTAATTTACGAGGACTTCCGCTAACAGAATTGGAAACGAGATGCGGATGACAAGGCAAAAATAGAGAGTTTAAGGCAGAAGACACGATTATTCTGAAAATGGCTAAAAACTTCCTATTTTGTCTGGCCATTTCTAGGAGTCTATCAGTTGTATAGGTCATCATGCATGAAAGCGGTTTTACTCATTTTTGCCGAATTACGACTTTAAGGTGTTGAAGATAGAATCATCAATCTTACAAATGATGAAGAGTTTATCTAGAAGAAATTATCCAGGAAATTTTTGGCAAGTCATGCATAACGGTTGTCGCATTTCGGATGTTCTATATATCAATATGAAAAAGCCTATTGGCGACACTTATTCTTGCTTGCAGAAAAGCTTTGCGGCTCATATAAAGGTTGTTTTTTATTTAGGTTATAAAATTTGTTAGCTAAAAAATTATGGCCTTTATGTATCATCACATACTTATTCTACCAATTTATAATTTAGAAAAGATAATCATTTATGTATCTTTTAAGAATGATACATTTTATAATTGATTAGATGTCTCCAGAATTATGCCTAAATAAACTTTGCCTTGCATTTCTAAAAGCTTTTATATTTTGGCTGGAATGCGGTTTCAACAAAATTGCTACCAAGTCTGTTAAAATAGCAAATTATCGCGTCAAAATCTAACACGTTGTTTACTTTTTACTGATGATTCCTATGTCAACCAGAAAGCCAAAATCATAGTCAATAAGTTTGTTACGGGCAACCGATGCAGGCTTCCTTCCATGATCGTGATTCTGTCCTCTTTGGGTTACAGTTTATCTTTCGTCTGGGCGTCCAAGTCCCCCCATACAGGTGTGTTCGTGATAAATCGTGTAAAGTAGTGTTTTATATGCGCCAAGCCTTTCTGGATATATGACACAGTTTCACTCTCGTAAACTGTAAAGAGAATTAGACGCCCCTCATTAGGTTCGGCTCGTCCGAGCCTTAAATCCGAGCGCAGAAATGGCAGTAAATATTACAGAATATTTAAGTTAATTGCAGAAGCGTACAATTACGGTTCAAAAGATCCTCGGCTATGGTATCTCTGATTTTTCCAGGTTACTGAGTATATCGCCATACTAATGGTACTCAGGGAGACTACTTATTGCATTTTCTAAACCCAAATGTTGCGGAGCTAGAGGACATCGTCATCCTATTTAATTGTATCACACACAGGCTATTTTGCCACTTATTAGGTTCTTTAAAAAAGGTTTATCTTTATTGAAAATCTGTTTTTATATGTTTGCCTTATTGTTGGTGCATATTACCATGACAACAGTCAAAGGTCCGAAAGGCCACATTCTGTTCCGCTCCAAGTCAAGCTCCAGCCACAGACCATTCTTCCATCTGGGCGTCACCAGCAGTGCCGCCTTCTCATCCACTTTATCCTCGTTCACTCCTTCCACCTCTTGGGCTTCTTCTAACTCGGCTTTAGCCACCTCATCGTTTGTCCTGGCTCCTCCTTGCCACCAACGCGCCGTGGGCGCAGGCCCTAAGGCAAAGTCTAGCACTGGTGTCGGCATCTTGCCGAGTGACCGACAGACAAACAACCATCTGCCCAGCACCAATACCTTCAAGGATGCCGGCACTTGGTTGCCCTACAAGGAAAACAGTATATCTGCCGCCCCAGTTGCTGTAGCTGGCTCGACTGTCGTCCACGGAGGCAAGGATGGCTTGGCCTCACGACCACCCTTCAGAAGTGAGCCTTCTTGGCCGGGCCGGGAGGGTCAAACAGGGCTGACGACACACGAACGAATAGTGAGGACCCAGCGAATCTGGTGTATTCCAGGATTAAAAAGGGAGGAGGTCGAAGTTCTGCTGGCAGACGCCGAGCCAGGAGTAAGTTGAGATTTTAGTTTCACTCCATCTTGACCAAGTTTAAGCACTATTTAATCGGACTTCTCAGTAAGCATCAAAGGACTGATAATTCGGCGAAAAAAAGTCCTAAGCCGGTCATCCCTCGGTATGTATTCGAGATCGCGTTTAAAAAGCTCTGATTGGCCTTATTTTTTGCAAACCATCAGATGCGGTAGACAATAGCAAATTCAAGCCCAACTTAAATAAGATTTCGTTAAAAATATCTGTCATGCTTCTAGGATAGTTTAATTAATTTCCGGCATCCCACTTTTCGAAAATGTACAGCTTAGCTCGCCTCTCTTTTTTGAGGAATTCATCAAGATGCTTACAATATGGAAGCTGTGCCATATTCGCATGATTGGCTTCGAAATAAATTCAGGATAAATGTCTATATTTGAGCTTTGGCTGTGATATTATGAGTCTTAGTTGGAAGTGCTGGCTAAGGTTGGATTTAGAACACAGTACCTTTCCACACGCCTTATTTCATATTCAGAGCCGTTTATAATTTGCTGACGAGTTATTCATCATCCGACATCTCAATTTTTGAAAGTCACTACAGCCCGCTTCTCATTTTTTGAAGAATTCATCAAGATATTTATAGTCCATAAGGTTGTGCTGCCTTGATTTATTAGTCGAACTTGGTCGTTCTGTCAGGCCGACCCCTAGTAACGTACCATCTCCTGCCTCTGCCATAGTATTTATGATAAATTTCAGCATCAGACTACTGATTTAGGGCATTCCCAGAAGTTTCGCCAGCACCATAGTCATCATTGTCATTAAGCCTTGCCAGTATTAGCACCTAGCAACGACTCGCTAAGAAGATAAGTAATTCCGTCTCTTGATCACATTTCTTCTGAACGAGATACGGTCTTCGCTGTTTCCTTATCAACAAGACCAATCTGTGCAAATGTGGTCAGACCAGTTCTATATGGGAAAATAAGGCTTCAACAAAAATAGATGCCACACCATCTTGGTATTAATGCTCACAGAACTCTAGTTTGTCTGGATACTCAAAAGAAATTAGCGCGAAATTAAGACTTTTAAAATATGCACTTTACAAGATTATATTTTTATCACTAGTTGGCGAATTTAAGTTCATAGTATCTGCAACTTAGTAAATTAGTGCCAATTCATCAGAAATGGTTATAAGCGCTTTAGCAAATACATCAATTAACATTGGTGGTGACAGTTTTTTCGGAAAAGGAATTTTGAGTACTGATTAAAGTGGCGTTTAGAGAAAGTGATTTAGGCTTCTTATCTCATGAAACCCTCTTTGATAACACTATTTCCAGCAAAGCCAAACTTCAGAGGTACCCGAGTGAATAGGCTTTTGTTTACGCCATTCGTGTAGCCATTAGATTTGTGACCATTTTTGGTTTAGGAATGTGATAGGCAGCTACTGATTAATTTATTATGAATCCTTTCGCATATCAACATTAAAGTTATTATTATCTATAGAAATTTCCTACTAGGCTCAAATGGACTTCAAACTACGGGTAGAGACGTGCCTTAACTTTCACTATTCTTCAAAATATTCCCTCTCCGGACAGAGATCACAAGAGCTTTATTTATAAGAACTTTAAACTTTTCTCAAAATTATTTCAAATAAGTTATATCATTCTAGAACTCTTATCGATTCTTGATGGTCAAGAAAAGTCAAGATGAGCCTTTAAAAATGTGGTTTCACTATAACTTTAGAAAATAACTCTCATGCTGGCTGTTAACAGATAAACATCAAGAATGTCCTATTTTATTTACTAACTAATTAGAAACTACAAATTTGACTTGGCGATTCTTTTAAACAGATGGAGGAGAAATAACTTATTCCCTTTTTTTGTCACTATTTTTCCAGTGTAATCGACTTCCTAGTAACTCGGGTAAGACTTTCCGCATTTGACAGTGGGCAAATAATGGTTATTTGTTTAGTCCAGGCATAAGTAGTATATTATCTCTGAATCAGTATATGCAGTTTTATTCAGGTAGCGAAAATGTTGTCGAATCTTAGGTAACTTGTGTACTTGGAGATCACCTGCAACATGCGAATCGCCTGTATTCAGCTGCATCATGTGCTATTAATAGGGTTATGAAGATAAGTTTACAGCGCACACGTTGTTATAGTTAAGCAAAAGTTTGCGACTAAACTTGAAAACATCATTAACCAACTGCTCTGGTCTCATTAATTGGGGACAATTGCCACCCCTAAGCTAACCTTCACGATACAGCATTCATCCTTCAAGCGTTCGAGGCTCCAATACCATTTGCTGCTGCACTAAACAGTGTTTAGCCTGCTTGGGACCCACTCATAGTTTGACCAGTTAATTGTCATCATACTAAGTGGCTTTATGAGCGAGCCCAATGTAAATATATGGACGCTTTTATCTCAACTGCTGTGAACTGATAAGAACTCTTGCAGTTCTGGGCTTTTTGGTATTTCCCTGTCAGACTTAATGAGGTCTCGCCTTGGGGTTTACGGGCTAGAATTGTGTGCTTGTTAAGTTTACTTAACTTGTGATATTTCGTCAACACTAACTAACTTTAACTTATTTATGTTTATTTATTACTAGATTTCTAGTTTATACTTGGTAGTATAAAGAATTTTCAATTTTAAAGAAATATTACCGCGTTTTTTTCAAATACGCACTGATTCTTTAAGTAAGCATTCTCTATGCATAAAATGAACCATTTAACGAAAGTAACACCTCTTTGGCATTTTGGGGAATAGCCCTTTTAACTAATCATACTAGAGTAAGGCTGGCTAGTTATTCATTCACCTTTCCAGTTAAATATTTGGGCGTGGTCGGAAAAGGTGTTACAAGAACAATAGAATAAATTCTAAAATAGTTGAATACATATATGTTTGGATTAGTTTGATGTTAACCACTTAAAGCCTCCCTCAGATGATCGCTGAAGCTAAATCGTATAAGCAGTAAATATTGCTTTTATCGCATAAACACTGTTAACCCCGAAAATGGGGTTTTGGACATAATATAGCGATCGATTTGGCTTCAAAACTATGAAGTGATCTCAAACAAGAATTCAAATCAACCAAGCTCGCTTAAGGTGATGGAAGAACAAATATTTGAATTTACCACATCAAAATGATCGGGAGGCCTTACGATGTCATTATTTTTTCACAATTTGGCATCCCAAAAGACTTTTTTATCCGAACTGGACGACAGTTTTGACCTCGTCTGACAGTATCCTAAATCGGTAACTGGGCCATAAAGCAGCAACGGGTTACCACTCCCACAGCCATAGGCAACTTTGAAGGCTAGCTA